TGCATTCTGGGCATCATCCAACAAACTGCCTGTCCAGCTCCTTCCCAACCTGTGTGCATGTATAATTTTTTTTTATTGCTATAAAAGCAAATAACACATGAGGAAAAATCGTGAATACCAGTTATCTGCCCATTGTTTGTTTGTTTTTTGAGTGAGAATGCAAAAGTTTGGTCACCTCTTTGTGCCTACAGTGATTTTTGTGGACTGATGGCTCTTCCACCCTTGAAAGAACAAAAAACAAATGTTTGATGTTCCCTAGCCAGACAATGAGACACTCCTCTCTCTTTTTTTCTTTTTTTCCCCCCTTATATTTATATTCTACCTTGTCTCAGCGTCATTCTATCCTCACTGTCAGGTTATGCCAAGAGTGTAGGACTGGTTGCAGGAAAGGCACCAGTGGGGATTTGAACCCCTGTCTCCTAAATCCTTCTCCAATCACTATCTGTGGCATGCCATGAGTCACCTAGTGGGTGTCAAGGCACTATACACAATAGTGAGACCACACCATTCTTTTTATTGCATGCATTTCCAGGCTGATGTGCCGATGCAGATATTTTTTGCAAACTTTCCATGTCGACACAGGCTTGATAACGGTGAAACCTTGTCTTGTCCCTTTTTCTCAGGAGAGCCCCTCCTTGTGGCCGAGCTCAAGCCAGGGCGGCCTCAACAATATGACTGGAAATCCAGCTGTGAGACGTGGAGTGTGGCCTTCTCTCCGGACGGTGCCTGGTTTGCCTGGTCTCAGGGCCACTGCGTGGTCAAGCTGCTCCCCTGGCCTTTGGAAGGAACAGACCCGTGAGTATCCTCCACTGGATGCCCTTATGCCAGGCTGACGTGGTCCTGAAGCAGCACCCCACACAGGAACCTGATCCTGCTTTTAGCCAATGCAGGGAGGAGGTTTTAACATGCTGTGTGTTGTGTGCCGTAAAGTCGGAACCAATTTACAGTGATCCCAATAGGGAGATGCTTAATGAGAGGCTTTTACCAGTTCCACCCCCAACACACCACTTCCATGGCTATGTAAGTGGGGATTTGAACCCAGGTCTCCCCAGTCTGAGTTCATTACTCTGTCTGTTACACCACTTTGGTGTAATATGCTAGCTCAGAGGTGTCGTACTCAATTTCATCTTGGGCCGCCTAGGCATTATGGTTGCCCTCAAAGGGACGGTTGTATCTCTAAGACTATATCTACTCTTTATCGTATTAAATATAATCCTCTTCATTCAGTTATTACTGGTTTTAGTAATAACATAAGTAATAATTAGCTCTGAAAGTAAAAGTCTATGATCAAAGTGTAGAAACAATGGCAAGCAGATATTCAAGTCTACAACTATTGTACAATTTATTGAAAAGTGAGTTTTAGTAACACTCGTTGACGCCCACTTCACAGCCCCACCCGTGTTTGTTTTGTTAATTATTCATGGAAGTCTCCCACCCTTCCCTTGCATTTGCCTCGGCCCTCTCGTTATCATCTGGCTCCTCACTCTCTTATAGCCGATGCAGGAGAGGCGGAGATGGCTGCTGCTAGGTTGCGCCATCAAACAGTCCTCGCCGGGAGCCATAAGAACAGGAGTGGGCAATAGCAAGGACTACATTTCCCAAGCAGCTCCACTTTCTGACTCTTCCCTCCTTGGAATGCTCGGATTAGAAGTCCCACTGGGTGGATTTCCAGCATCTTTGCAGAGCATTATGGGTGACCGAGTAAGCACCTGCATATTGTATGCTGCTCAGTAGCAGGCAACACTGCGAGGGCCACATGAAACGGCCCAGCTGGCCGGATTCGGCCCGCAGGCCTTGAGTTTGACACTTGTCAAACTAGATGATGATTTTTATATTGACGCTTAATCCAGACAAGAACATGGCTAGGGCTTTTGGTGGTGTTTCCCACTTATGAACATGATTTTTAGATTGAAGCTTAATCCAGACAAGAACATGGCTAGGACTTTTGGTGGTGTTTCCCACTTATGAACATTGTGACAAAGAATGAAAACAGATTACGTTACAAACACTGTAAATGAGTTGTCAGGATGCAATATTTTTAAAAAGTAATTTCCCAGTCTGTATTTCCATTCCCTCCCCACAGGAGCCGCAAAGCTTTGGAATGTAAGAGTCAGTATCTAAAAAACGAGGTTAAAAGGCAGGGTGCTGGGGCCAAAGAGAAGACACTGGAATGCGGGCAGATTGTTTGGGGCCTGGCCTTCAGCTCCTGGCTTCCTTCCCCCTCAAAGAAGCACATCCTGAGGGGGCCAAGCACTTCCTGTCTCGTTCTTGCCACAGGATTGAACGATGGCCAGATTAAAGTCTGGGAGGTGCAGACAGGTAAATTGGTCCTGCTGTTGGTTTTTGTTTTTATCCAGGGGTGGGGGTGGAAAATAGCTCCAGAAGGGGCTCCATTTTAACCTGGCATGTCCATTAAGCCTGCAACTCCCTGCTTCTTTATTCCTGTGTTAACTCTTGATTTGTTGACAGAATGTGTAAATTTATAATGGGAAACTGCCTTTGGCTTCCAGTCTTGGAAGATTCTGGAGGGCTTCAGTGATGGGGCCAAAAGTGTACGGGGTGGGTGGGTGGAAGCAAAAGTATGTAAATTTTACCCATTTGCTCTAGCAATCTAGATTTAAAAGCGTACAAGGCACAGCTAAATTCTGTGCATGTCTTCAAGAGGATTAGCCCGAATGGAAATATTTCAAATCTACATACCAGATGCTGTGTTCCATTTAACCCTCCCCACTTAAATAGCTTCTTATCTTTGATCTGAGAGAAAAAACAGAAGTTTTAGTGGGCCAGATGAGACACTTCATTAGGTGTGTAGGCTACAGGTGTTCCAATAGGAAATAGCAACAAAACCACTCATTAATTTACCCAGGTAGGTATACCTCCCTCCCCAAGAGCAACTTGAGGAGCTCTCGTTAGCAGACTTCTTCAGATAAGAACAGGAACTGGAGAGAGAGGGAGGTCTTCTCCAGCTGTTTGTCTAGACCAGATCTTCTCCCATTCCCCAGCTTTCCATGTTTAGTGGGACTTTAAGGGTTTCTCTAAATTTCAGGAAGCTTTTGAACAAAGTTTGAGAAACACTTGCTGTCCTCCAAAGTTTTTCTGGAAGACCAGCCCGTTCCTTCAGCCCTCCATGTTGCTGAAGGAAGATTCAAAGATCCGTCTTAGACCGATGCTGGAGACTCTCGGGGTTCCAGCTTGGATGGAGAGGCCGTGTCTCACTCTGTGCTGCATTTGTAGGTTGCTTGCTGTTCAACCTGTCGGGGCACCAGGACGTGGTCAGGGACCTGAGCTTTGCACCCGGTGAGAGCTGTTCTGTTCTTGTCTCTGCTTCCCGTGACAAAACCCTCCGTGTCTGGGACCTAAGTCAGAATGGTAGGAGCGTGGGCCCTGGCCAAAGAATTGGCATTCTTGAGGGTATTGACACTACACAAGAATGCCGGTGCGATTGCACTTTAACAGATTTGGCTTCATTCTGTGGGATCCAGGTATTTGAAGTTGGCATTTAACAGTTGTCTGCTAGAAACCTCTACAGCGCTGCCTGGAGCTGCAGCAAACGATTCTAACCAGGATCTAGAGTAGCATTGTAGCTCACCTGACTTTGGGTGCAGGAGCTCTGAATGGGAATGTTATGTTGCATTTAAAATTGAAATAGAAATCTTAGGCTTTCATAGACTGGAGCCATGGTAGTTAAAGTGGCATCAAGCTGATATAGCTATGTCATGTAAATGCACTGTGTAGTGTAAATGCACCAGATAAGCTACTGGTGAAAAAAATATGTTTGTAATTATAGGATACAACATCCCATTTCCTTCTATGTGTTTGCCTCTGCCCCACTAAGCCTGTGATGTGGCATTGTTGAAATAGTGTTTAAATGTGGTTTATACAGCAAATTTCTAATCCAAAACAACAACTCCTAGGAATCTTTTGAGATGAGCCTGAGACTAATGAACCACAGTCAACTTGGAAATTTAGTTTGGAAATAGGTGGAAATTCTGGCTTAGAAAGAATAGAAAGCAAGGGCTGCTGCTTGGTGCCTTTGTCAAAAGCTGTTTATTAAAAAAAAAGAGGTGATCTGAAAGAAAAGGTAGCAGAGCCCCGTGGGGCTTCATGAGCCAAGGTCATGATGCCCAGTTTTTGAACTGTCTGCCTTAACCCCAGGTTTTATATTGCCTTCACCAGATGACAAGTTCCAAGAACTCAAAAGTCTGTCATATTTGTAACTTTTGTAAACACCAATAAAAGTGTTGCCCATTCCCATACTTGTAGTAATAAGGTGCTAAAGGTTAAGAGTTCTGATCTGGGTGAAGGCAGGAAATATAGCTGACGAAGAGGGTGTGTCTTTGAAATCATATGAACCTTACCTCGGATCTGGGCAGTCAGAGGAAGAGTCCAGCTTGCATGGATTGCTCCTCTTCACTGGTTTGGGAATATGCTGTTTGTTTTCCAGCAAAGAAAAAAAAAGGGGAATCTCCATTCCCCAATCTGTGTTTGCGCTTCCTTCCCCCTCTCTCCTTCTCTCTCTCTCTCTCTTGTGTTCCACAGGGAAGCAACTGAAGGTGCTTTCTGGACATGTGCAGTGGGTGTATTGCTGCAGCGTCTCTCCGGATGGTCAGATGTTGTGCTCTGCTGCTGGAGAGAAGTCCGTAAGTCTGTTCTGTACAGAGAAGAGGGAAGGGAAGGGAAGCGATGACCTGCCTAAAACCAGGAATGATAGCGATACCTGCCTAGGAAGGCTTAAGAAATCCCTGTTGGGTTTTTAAAAAAAGAGCAAGAGAAAAAATTTCATGGCACCTTAAAGACTAATTGCAGTATCTTATTGTGAGCTTTCATGGATTAAGCCCACTTCCTCAGACATAAGAATGAGACTATATAACAGTCATATTAATACACGACCTCATGACCAAGAGGGGATACAGGTAATGGGCAAATTGACTGTGGTTCATTAGTAACAGGAAAGGCCGTCAGTTTTTGGATAATATCAATTATCAGTCTACAAGGTAAGAAGAACATACCATGTATAAATATGACAGTCATACTGTCTGTTATGTTTGAGGAAGTGGATTTGGTACACAAAAGCCCACAAAAAAAATGTAGGTTTTAATTAAGGCCCCAGTGTTTTTCTCTTGGTTTTCTTTTGTTTGTCTGATATGCTTGCATAGTCTAACGCAGCTACTTCTTCAAAAACTACATCCATTCTTACCACTGCCTTTTTGCCCCTGGTAGGCCCTGCTCTGGACTTGGTTTTCTTTTGTTTGTCTGACATGCTCGCATAGTCTAACACAGCTATTTCTTCAAAAACTACCACTGTCTTTTTGCCCCTGGTAGGCCCTGCTCTGGAGTATGTGCTCCTACAGCCTTCTGAGAAGACTAGAAGGGCACCAGGGCTGTGTTGTGTCCTGTGACTTCTCTCCAGACTCTGCTCTTCTTGCAACTGCTTCATATGACACCTTTGTCATCCTCTGGGACCCTTGCACTGGGGAGCAGCTGAGATCCCTCTGGTAGGAGAAGATGTTCCAGATCAGGCGGCAGAGGGCAGACAGAGCACTAGCCCACCACCAGCAGCTCATTTTGAGAAGGTGGCAACACCATGGCAAGGGCAGGCTATTTTTGCTTAGAGCAGGGCTGGGGCGTGTGTAGTCTCCAGATGTTAAGTTTCAGTTCTCATTCTCAACAATGGAGAGACATAGTGGGAGGAACAGTTGTCCAGTATTCACTGGCCACTTTCTTGAGGTGGTGGGACATGCAAGAACCTCTCCACTCCTGAAGAACTCAAATTCTCTATGGGCTCATATGGGAGTTATCTTGGCCCCAAACTGCTTAACACTTTGTAAGTCAAATCGAGCATCTGAAACAGAGCTTAGAAGCCATGTGCTTGATTCATGGCCAGTTTCTTAAAGCACACACCAAACAACAGCCTAGCTGCTGAGTGTGCTGTATCTTCCAAGCATTTTTCAAAGGCTGCTCCATGTAAAGTGCATTACCATTGTCCATTTGGGAAGTTTTAAAGGCATGAATCGTTGGCCAAATCTGCCTGATAGTCGTGTTTGTGTTAGATTCGGAGGTGTATATGGTTTGCCTTCACGTTATCACAATTAGGATACTGTAGTGCCGGGAAATGGGAGAGCAAAGGTGCAACCAGCAAACCGATGGGTGTCTGAAATCTGTTCTAGAGAGAGAGACTGAAACATCAGGGTCTTTGAGACTAAAAGGAAAGACCTGCGGGTGGGGGAGGATATGATGTTGACCATATTTAGACACAGTTGGAAGAACATGGGTTGAGTGTATTTCTCTCTCTTTCTTGTACTGCCAGAACTTGGGCATGAGCTGATGAAGCTATTGAGAGGAGATGGAGGACAGAAGAACCCCTGGCCTTCTTCCCCAGACCCCATCAGCCGGTTCTCTCCAGCCCTGAGACCCTTCCTACTCTCTCAGCCAAGAGTTTCAGAGACCCCAGAAAGTGTTTCAATTCTCTCCCATCTTTCTCTGCCAGGGAGCAGAGTCGTGAAGTTCCTTCCTTAGCCAAAGTGTCAGGGATGATATATTTGTGAGGCATTAATGTACTGATGGCTGATTAGTTGCCAGCATAGCTAAAATGGGCAGGCAAACCTCTCTATTTCCTTTCCTCTTTTCCAGCCACATTCCGCTGCAGTCTTTTGTGGATCAAAGCGGCGACTTCCATGCCAGCTCACTGCGGTCGGTGTGCTTCTCACCGGAAGGCCTCTATCTTGCAACGGTGGCAGATGACAGGTGAGACCTGCTGGCTTGCGGATTTGGGGAGGTGTCTTATTTTCTCTGAGCTCTGAGATTTTTTTTAGTCTTGCAATTGTCTTTCCAAAGAAAAGTTCCTTCCTTTTATCCTTTTAGGCTCCTGAGGATCTGGTCCTTAGACCTAGGAATTCCAGTTGCCTTTGCCCCCGTGAAGAATGGTCTTTGCTGCACCTATTTTCCACATGGTGGGATCATTGCTACAGGGTACGTACTGGGCCAATAGCTGAAAGGCTCCTATTCCTTCTTCCGTCTTCCTTTCCCCTGCCCACCTCCACCCCCAATGAATAGAACCAGCCTCCCTAACTGCACAGATAGAAGCATACACACACACAAACACACACACACAAACCTACCACCAAGACACCTTTATGTAAACTAAAGTTCATACTCACAGAAATCAAGCTCCTTTCATTTTGTTGTTCCCACTAAACACATACAGAAACTGCAATAGGAACTAGATAGAGCTTGTGGTTGCTGTTATGTGCTATCAGGTCAGACTCAGCTGATGGCAATCTAATGAATAAGTGATCCCCAAAATTTCTCATCTTCAATAGCCCTGCTCAGTTCTTGCAAGCTCAAGCCTGTGGCTTCCTTTAGGGAATCAATCCATCTCATATTTGGTCTTTTTTTTCCCTGCTGCCTTTCAGCTTTCCAAGCATTATTGTCTTTTTTCAGAGAGAGCAATCCATCTCGTATTTTGTCTTTTTTTCCTGCTACCTTTCAGCTTTCCCAGCATTATTGTCTTTTTTCAGAGATTCCTGTCTTTTCATGATGTGCCCAAAGTAGGAGAATCTCAGTTTTAACATTTGCGGTAGACAGCAATATTGGGTGGTGACGGGGGTGGAAATAGATAGCAAAACATCTGGAAACTTCTCCTAGTTACATCACTGTTAAGTCTATGGGCATACTGCTGTCTAAGCATTTTCTAATCTGGAGAACCAAAAATTGTCTTTAATACAACTGGAATGACATTTATTTACTACATTTCTATCCTAGTCACCTTTTTTATTCTGTGGAATCCAGGCAGCAAGTTTGGGACTTCTTAGGTTGTCTGGAATCCTGGAGCTGGCCATGACCAGACTTGCTTACCTTCAGAGGTTGGAGTGTTCTGTAATCACACACGGTCATGTCTGTCTGTCCTTTCCTTCCTTCCCGTCCTATGTATTGATTTGAAGGTCGACATCAATTGAAATGATCAGAGAAAAGCTTGCTATTTACCAGTCTGCTATCCCTGCAGTCCAAATCTACAGCCATGGCTTAGTACAGTGGTGCCTCGCTTAGCGATGTTAGTTGAGCGATGGTTTCGCATAGCGAAGGTTAATCCGGAACGGATTAACCTCGCTATGCGAGGCACCACTGTATTGATTTGGAGGTCGACATCAATTGAAATGATCAGAGAAAAGCTTGCTATTTACCAGTCTGCTAGCCCTGCAATCCAAATCTACAGCCATGGCTTAGTACAGTGGTGCCTCGCTTAGCTATGTTAATTCGCTCCCAAAAAAAGCTGCTAAGCGATAATATCGCTAAGCGAAACTAAAAATCCCATAGAAACGCATTAAAACACGACTAACACGTTCCTATGGGCTTAAAATTCACCTTTAAGCAAAGATCCTCCATAGCGCCGCCATTTTCGGTGCCTCTAAAGCGAGGAATCCGTGCCTGAAAACAGCGGGTGGCCATTTTGTTTACCCGGCGGCCATTTTAAAACCGCCAATCAGCTGGCCGAAAATGGGGGCTTTGCGATGATCGCTTCCCTGCGATCATCGCAAAGTGAAAATAGCCCATAGGGAACATCCAAAGCGATCACTTTTGCGATCGTAAAAACATCGTCGCAAAGCGATTTCGCCATAAAACGGAGCAATTGCTATGCGAGGCACCACTGCATTTGAAGCATAAATGTCCTTAAAGAGCAAAGTAGAGGAAGATTATGGGTTAAAATAGTTCAGTAGGTTGAAATGCCTGGCTGCAGAGCCGGGGCTGAGTATTTCCAATCTTTACAGTACTTCTTAGGGAAAGAGGGGCTAGTTCAGATCACCTGAAACAGATGTGGCTGAACGGGTTGACCACCCTGCTCGCAGCCACCCACCGTGATCTAACTTTTGGAGTAGCTCTTCCTTCTCCCAGCGGCAGCCGTGGTCTTTTCCAGACAGCCCACCCAACCACTCAGGCTATGGAAAAATTGTGGAGGGGGAGCATGTGACCAATCAGTTGTTGTATCCTGGCTTTTAAACCCAATTCAGCAGCACTGTGCGCATTTCCCTCCGGCAGCTGGATAACTTGAGTTTAGCTAACATCTCTTCCACCCTGTTTTTGCTACAGGACAAGAGATGGCCACACTCAGTTCTGGACCGCCCCCCAGGCACTCTCCTCTCTGAAACACCTGTGCCGCAAAGTGATCCGTAGTTGCTACAGCACTTACCAGGTCCAGGAGCTGCCCATCCCAAAGAAGATGAAGGAGTTCCTCACCTATAGAACGTTGTGATGCCAACCACATCTTCCAGAAGGCGTGCTGCTATTCTCTGGAGGCTTTGGGCGTGAAGAGACCAGCTACTTTCCTGAAGCTCACCCCAGGCATGTTTTGTCACACAGAAAGTAGACATTTCTCATTTTGTGTGGAACTATGGAGTAATCTGACTTTTAGGAATCATGGCTGGAGTCCCAAGTAAAAAGCCAGACAGATCTTCAGCATAGTTGACTCTAGGAGTCCCCACCTTTTAATCAGTAGGTTGTTACATTTCTCCAGAGCTACTTCTGTATTTCATACAGATGTTCACTCTTGGGAGTCAAAAGCTGAAATACTGCACAAGGCACTGAGTAACAAGTAATGCATGAAAGGGCTACAGACACAAGGGTTTTCTGAAGAGTGGTGGTGGTGGTTCTAGTCTGGCTGAAAAGTGGATGTTGATCATTTCCTTTAAAATGGATGAAGATGAATTTGAAATTGGTCCTACTTGAAGGCACACTGCTGGTAAACTACCTGTTAAGACCTGAATTAAGAGCCAGTGTGGAGTAGACTAGGAAGAATGCCTTTTGCACACATAAGTGATCACAGAGGCATATTTAAAGTCCCGTGCCATTTCAGGGTAGGAAACAACAAACCTAAATTATTATGACACATGGTGGAGGAGGTTTCTCATGCTTTAGCAGCAGCATGATTGTATTGACACGTGGTGGAGGTTTCTCATGCTTTAGCAGCAGCATGAAGTAAAAAGAAACATGATAGAACAGTGGCTAGAGAGTTGTAGCTCAAAAGCCCTGGAGCTACTGGTCTGCTTGCCTTTATTCCAGAGGGGTTTCGATGAATCCACGGGCTAAAAAACAAGAGGCAGACAGTTACACTAGCTATTGTTGGGATGGTCAGTTCCAATGGCCCTTGTCACCATATCAAATGGAACAGGAAGATGCAAGCTACAAACTGCACTAGTTGAATGCTACCCTTGGCTACCTCAAGAAATTGTTCTGAAAATAGCAGGAGCATTAGGAGGGAGGGAAGTCCCCACAAGGATGCTGAGGGATGTAAAAGCACCATATTGGTGGCACAATATCAGTATAAGACACTACCCACCCTTTATGTTGACATAAACCATATAGGACCAAGCCCAATAAAGGAGCTCAGAATTTTCTAGGAGCAATGATGTGTATGCGGGGTAGTGTCACTCACTTGGTGGGCTGAAGACAATAGGTGTAGATTATAGTGCAGCCCAGTGCGGGCCTCGTCCATTTATTACTGCCCTTGTCTTCGTTGGGCTGCATAGCTAGTCTGGCATGACAGTTAAATGCCAATTTTTAAACACACTGAAGCTGCATCAGGATGCAATTAAATAAAAGTGCTAGTGAATGTTGAAAGTAAATATAGACTGGATGTTGTTGTTGTTTTCCTGGCTACATTGAAGGGTAGACTTCCATGACATTTGGGGGTAGCTTCACTAATCACTCTAACCAGACTGGAAGTTCTTAAACTGGGTTCTCTTCCTGGAAGGATATGGGGTTGCAGAGTCAAATGAGAGCACCTGGGTGCAGGCAAAGGCTCAATTTTCTAATAAAGTAGTAAACAATGGATGTCTGCAGTCAAATAAGAATGAAATAACTTCAAAATATTTATGTTCTGTAGCTTTTTCTACCCATCACTGTAAGACTTAAATGCTATGAGGCCAATATTAATCTAATCTTGTTACCAGGATGGTACTGGTATTGCGTAGTTGAAACCAGCTTTTTTAACACTGCTATAAAGTGACAGTGCAGAAGTAAACATCTAAGATAGGAAAGTACAGCTAGGGACTGTAAACCGCCCTGTATGCAAATACCAACAAACACTTCATGCCAGATACAAAATATAGCTTTATTATTATGTTTATACTGTTACTACCTTCTAGCACGGTAAAAAAGATAATGGCCCCAACTCCTAACCACAACAGGAGTCTTTTTTAAAAAAAACTCTTGACTTATGGCAAAGAAGTATGTGGTGGGGGCAACACACAATGTTCCATCAATCTATCACCAAAAAGAGAGGAGGATGAGATTTTCCAGATGGAAACTGTCTCCTCCCAGGAAGAAGACTGGTCTCAGGCAGCACCCACAAATGCTGCTTAAGTATGGCTGACTTTGGCAATCCCAGGTCGGTTTCAGATTGCTGAGCAGAGGTAACTGTGAGGATTCATTTCACTGTAGCCATTTATGGAGGAGCCTGAGAGAAGACTCCAGATCCTCAACAGGTTAGAGGCCTCCTCAAATCCTCTGGATTAGAGCAGATATTTGCTTTTTATGGCCAAGATTCTGAATTCTAGGTTTATCCAAGGAACTCTGTCCCAGCACATCAGATGCAAGTCAGAGAGACCAGTTTGAAGAGCTGTCTTGTCCTTGTTGGGAGCCCAGTTCTGTTATTAATATACTCTGGACCCTTCCACTATATTCTAGCAGAGACAGAGTGATCCCTCTCCCTCCTGGAGAAATCAGATCAATGCATGGGAGGTATCAGAGGGAGAAAGACGAAGAAAGACTCAAGCCTTTTCTGGAACTCTGCAGAGCAACTTGTAAACCACTTTCAGTCCACTGAAGTTGCAACAGAAAGGCTGCTGCAAATTGAAGCTTCTGAACGACTGCAAAAGCAGCTTTCCTATGCCTCCGCTGCAATTAGGTCTCTGGTGACCTGGAAGGCACCAACCAGAGCTCCCAGCTGAATCTTCTCGCTGGTCCCTGCAGCCAGTCGATACCTGGGGGGGAGAAAAACAGGGTGACTCTCCCAACTGCAAAATGATGTTGTTGGTTTTAAAAAACAAACCCTTCCATGAGCTTTTGTTTGGAGGGAGACTGGTCAAGGGCAAGCCTATTAACAGCAGTGGTTAATAGCATAAGTACAGAATTCTCTCAGTCACTAGTATTGTATTGCCACCTCCTGCAGCCAGGCAAATCTTAGTTTTCATTTTAGGCAGTGTTCTAGACCTCCCTGGCAGGTGAAGGATTTGGATTTGAATTTTATTGAGCTCCCATCTGTCTTTGACTTTACTTAGTTGTGCAAGATACTCAGCAACTAAAATGGCACATATTAGTTATTTCAAGATCCTTGTGGTTTATAGTTGACAGACACTGAGTTAACTAAAGCTTAAGTTAACAGTACCTCGTTTACTGTGCACCCACAGGGTACATGCAACCTGCAAGCCATTCTTTGCACCTTTACCCCAAGACCTCAGTGAAGCTGTACTTTGGGGGAAAAACAATAGCACAATCTGCTATTGAAAAAAAATCAATGGCATGGCTCCTGGTGATTTTTTGGCTTATCTGCAGCTCTTTAATCCCCCATCTTTATACTTATTTAGTGGCTATATATGTTTTTCAGTGGTAGTGTTTATATAAAATTGACATTTCCCACCTCAGCTGACCTAATTGATTCACAAAGTCTTCTGTCAGACTTAGTACTTCTTGCTTTCTGACAGCAAAGATTCAGTCCGGTCTAAGACGTCTTGAATCAATCAGGACAATTAAGGTCAAATAATTAAATTATGACTGGTGAATATAATATTAAACCACTAAATAAGTATACTGTTAAGTTTTAAGTAAAAAGAAAATGGCTGCAGACAAGCAAGAAAAGTAGTTGGGAGATGCAGAACCTTTCTTTTCAGCAACAGATTGTGCTGCATATGAGGCTTTTCCCCTGGAAAGTATCAGGGTAGGGGGCAGCCCAGATCAGAATTTGGCCTTGGCCTGGCCAAGATCACCCACCCCCTGCCCTATGCATTTGATTAGAAAAAGAGAGCAAGAGGGGTTCTAGGCCAGGAGAGATGCATATGCAGGCCAGTAGACCATCGCAGCTACCCCTGAGTCTGCCACATGGTTCTTTGGTACAGAGGGAAGTCACGCCTCCAAGCAGCCAGCCTCCCTCCCTCCCTCCCAAGGACACTTACTCAATATCGGCCAACTTGATCAGCAGTTGGATTCGAACAGATGGTGGAAAGTCAACTGCAGGACATAAAAGAAAACATCTGCAGCATTTTGCAAAGGAAGGGGATTCCCATAATGCTACACCAGTCTTAACAAAAAGGCAGTTATTAAAATGAGGATATTTGAATATTTCTGTGAAGTAATCATTTGGCATTTTTTAAATTGTTCCTTCATCACCCCCCCCCCCCCCGCCCCCCAAACCACAGACATGCCCACACCCAAGGCTTGTCCTTAATTTTTGCAATGCAAAGTGTTTTTCAGCAGTACATCATGATTATGCTTTTGGTTCTGCTGAGCCGCCAGCTTCACCACCTTTTACAGGATCCCCCTCCCCTGACAAAATCTGGGATAGTTCATAGGGAACACGGTGCCTCAGATCGAAGAAAACATTTTACCTCGGTGGATGAACAGGTGAATTTCTGTCAAGATGTCATGCAAAGCTAAACCCTTCAATGTCTTCAATTCCATGATATCTGAGCAGAGCATCAAGGTGAAATCTGTTCCATAAAGATGTTATGAATGGAAATGGATGCTAACTATCCCATTTTACTGAACTGCAGTACTTGTAGTAACCCAGGCATTTACCTTCAAGAAGATAATACTTTCTAAATGTTCTGGCAGGCCTGGGGTGTAAAGGAGGCAAGGAAGGCAGAGAAAACTGTGTTAGAAGGGGTCTCTCTCAATGAATTAATTTCATCCTTCCTACATTTAGATACTATCTTTCTGTCAAAACGTTCAGGCGGTTTACAGTTTAAAACAGATTTCAAAAGAGGTAAAAACAAAAGCAACCCAAGAGAAGTATCAAGGGTGGGAGGGGGACAAATCAAGAGATTTAAAAAAATACAAGCAAGCTCAAGGTACCAACTCTTTTAGGCAGCTACATCATCGGACAATAGGAGGATGATATGGGAGACGGGAAGGTGTGAGAAGGAGCCAAAACCCAACGAAAAGAACGAGAGTGAGCCGTCCCCTCAAACACCTACCATGGCCTATACATTATTGCCAGCAGTTGAGCAGTTAGAGATACTGTACAAGAGAAAAAGAGCAGGAAAGTGACAGGAAAGGTGGAGGCACCCATAGAAGCAGCTTTTCTAGTGACAGAGGTGAAGGGAGATCTAAAAGGAAGGAAAGATTGGGGGAAAGAGGTAGAACAGGAGGGAGGAGGAAAGCAAACGGAAGGAGGTGAAGGAGGAGGAGGAGATACCGGTAGGATGAGGTGGATGGGAATGGAGGGTTGCTGGATCAAAGGGAAAGCTAAGATGAAATTACCTCTAGAGGAGATGGAGAGAAGACAACAGTATAATAAATCCATTAGACAGCAAAAAGAAAAGGAGATGAAAAGGTAGTTACAAGACAGGACAAGGGGGAATTGTGGTCCAGTTAGAGGAGACTGAACCAGTACACAAAACCGTGTATATGTACCTGAAGGAGGGAGATCGTTGGAAGAAAGGAGGCCGAACCAGAATGAAACCCCCACGAGTCACACCAACCGAAGGGGAATGGGCTCAGTGTTCGTGTTGTGGATGGAACCATATTGCCCCAGTATGAGGAACCCCATCAGGAAACCGACCGATCGAGAGTGTTTTGGAACAAACCCTCATTGGTGAAACCGTTCTTCACGCCTGAGTTTAAAGGCAGTCTGGACTATGAACGTTTGTCAGAAGGGCCCGTTGGCCCTACGGAAGTAGTTAATCATGGCACTCAGTTGGAAGCTAATAAAAAATTTAAGCAAGCGGACAAAGTGTCACCCTTTATTGGGGGGATGAAAGGAAAGAAAGTAGGGCCCAAACTTGAACCCACTCACAGAGGGCAAATAGAAGTGGACCAAGTCAGGTCACTGAAGCAAACCTCAAGGCCTCACCTCTGCTTTGGATATAACTGGGAGGAGCAGCCCTTGGTCTGCACATTCCTTACTGCCAAGAGGTTAAGCAGAGAAGAAAGGCTGACAGGTTTTAGTGACAAAAGAAAACAGTTGGCAATCCATGAAAGGCATTTCCAAAGAGAGATGTCAGTTTTTAAGGGTTGGTTCAGGCTTGAGATTGGGGAAATGCTTTGAGAAAAGTGAAAAGTGCTAGAATGTCCGATGGTTGTACTAGCGTTTATTTCTGAGCCAACATGCACGGAACTGAGCCAACAAAAAACTGGCTAAGAATTACAACTGGCCCTGCCCTTAGCCACACCCTATATTAGAATGTGGACACACCCACCCTGATTTGGATCCTTTGGTGGAAAAGACGCCTGCCTCTGACCTACAGGATGGCCCATGTGCCACTTCTTGTGCTCATCCTAGCCAATCCAAGGGTCCCCAGGTCCTGCTTCTAAACCAGAGCTAGTTGTCAATATCTTACAATTCAAGTTAAAGAAGCAAGGGCACTTCAGATGGGATGTATAAGGAAGGCTCACAGAAGAGTGCAAAGAGGGAAAAGGACAGCTCTGATGCGCGCGCGCACACACACGCACACACACACAAAAGGGTGAACAATTGAAAAATTGTCCTGGAGACATTCTACTGAAATTAGTGGGGAGCCAAGCAAGATCAGAGTGGCACACTTTCTTAAGACATTTCTCTCCTAAAGGTAAAGGTAAAAGTTCCCCCTGACAATTTTTGTCCAGTCGTGTTCGACTCTAGGGGGCAGTGCTCATCCCCATAGAGCCAGCATTTTTTTTTGTCCGAAGACAATCTTCCGTGGTCACATGGCCAGTGCGACTCAGACACGGAACGCTGTTACCTTCCCACTGAAGTGGTCCCTATTTATCTACTCTCATTTGCATGCTTTCGAACCACTAGGTTGGCAGGAGCTGGGACAAGTGACGGGCGCTCACTCCATCGCGTGGATTCGATCTTACGACTGCTGGTCTTCTGACCCTGCAGCACAGGCTTCTGCGGTTTAGCCCACAGCGCCACCACGTCCCTATTTCTCTCCTAGAAAGGCTCAAAATGCTGAATTCCAAACCCAACATCCAGCTCTAATAGTGTTATGCTAGCAAGCAGAGGGGCATTCATTCTGTCTCTCAGCCTATCTCACAAATGCTAAGTGGGCACAAAAATGTGACTTTCTGGAGATCAAGGTGTACTCAGCTGCAGTCTGTGGAAGGAGAAGCAAAACTAATATATGGGCACTGAGAAGAGTAGCCCACTTTATATTCAGGCTCCAGCTGCAATTGCCAGTGTAGCCAAAACTGCACTGAATGAAAGGAAAGCATCCGACAGGTTCAACATATCCACAATATTTGCACATATCTCAAAAGTATATAGCTAGTATCCTGCTGTCTAAACATGGAGAAGGGAAATCACATGCATGCGTTCCTCTCCCCTGTGGCTGCACACTGATAATACAGCTGGTCATGCAACAAGGAGTCTGCTAGAATAGCGGAGAGAGGTGTTTTTGTGACTTCCCTTTCATGTATAGGTAGCAGCATGCTAGCCTAGGCATTTGCAGGAATGACGAACTGAAGGGGGAAAGAAAAGAGAGTCTAATGAAGACGGATTATGCTCAGTGCCCATGAAATGTTTGTGAAATGTCATGGAATAACTGGAATGCTAAGCATGGAATGCTTGATGCTGCAAAAATGTTTTATAAATGACACCACCAAATTCCAGTCCTCACTTTTTTCTCCAATGCAACCCCACTCCATCTCCCAGTGCTAACTTGAACACCCAGTCTTCACAAATGACTGGGAGAAGGCAAATCTAACAGATACAGGAGTCAAACAAGGATGAGATGGTGCAAGAGGCTGATAAGCAGGAACATGCTCCCTGTCAGGAGCCTGCCACCGCCTCTGAGCATACGCCTGCGGTAGAGGTGATGGTAGCGGTGGAGGCAGCAGGAGAAGGTACCCCCCCCGGCACAATCCAGAAAAACGAAACATGAACTGATTCATTTTTCTGGGGGGTTGTGCCGATTTGTGTTTAGCTACAAATCATGAACTATCACAAACCACCGATTTCCCGCTTCATGCCCATCTCTAGCCAGGAGCACATACCGGCTCCTTCTGCCCCACATACGTAGTCGGTCTCCTGCAACAACTTTGAAAACGAGGCTCATAAGGATACTGTGATAGGCAGTGGTAAAATCTTGGTTCAGCATCCAGTCAAGGATGTTCGCGATGTCTGACCTGAGTGGTTGCCCTGTGCAGGTATAGACGGTCGCCTCCGTCACCTTTCCAAAGGCCATGTTTGTGCTCTGGCAGGGAAAGAAGAGGAAAGGCACAGCTGGTTAGATGAAGGCACAAGGTCCTCAAAGCCAGCACCCAAAGCTCCTTGAAAAGAAGGCCCTTTGTTTGCCCACTTAAAGTCACTTGCTGGATTACGGATGGGGAACACAGAGCCCTCCAGAGGTTGCTTGGCTGCAATATGAGTGAGCACAGGTTAGTCTGTGGGCCACATCTGGCTTACATTATTTGTTCCCTCAGATCAGTCATGAATACATAGTTCTGGCTGGTCTGAGGAAACAAATAATGACTTGCAGGTATATGTTACGCAATGACTTGTACATATATGTTTTAAAACTACCAAAAATCGGTGATACATCTTCCCAGCCACTTTTTGCAGCTTTAAGGTGAAAAATATAATAACTTAAATAAAATAATTATTTTGTCTTATTAAACATTAAGACAGGAGTGCACTGCTGATACTGCATGACCAGCTAGTACAGCCTTACTGGTAGAAAGGGTCAATAAAATACCGTATTTTTCGCACCATAAGACGCACTTTTTTCGCACAAAACAGGGGGGTAGAAAGTCTGTGCGTCTTATGGAGCGTAAATAAAAATTTGTAACTTTTGAACTGGTTATTGAATCAGGGCCATATCTGGCCGAGTGGGAGATTGTATTGGCTTGCTCTGCGTCAAACTTTGAAGAAGTTGAGACAAGTACTTTTAAAGTTTAAACTATTGTTGTTGTTTTTAGAAAAGCGCATGCACCTGGGATAAACACTTTTAAAAATGGTTGAACCTAGTAGACATTAAATAGTCTTGAGTTGTAAATTTACCTAAACCTCCTATAGCTATAGCAATCCAAAATAACATAGGACTGGGAGAAACATGAATACAACCTCATAGAATCATAGAAAAGTGAAGTTGGAAGGGGCCTACAAGGCCATCAAGTCCAGCCGGTTGAACCTAGTAGACATTAAATAGTCTTCAGTTGTAAATTTACCTAAACCTCCTTTAAAGCCATCTTGCCTTGTAGACACACAATACAATTTTGATGCTTGATTTCCTCTCATTCCTCAAAAATAGGCTGGTAGAGCTATAGCAATCCAAAATATCACAGGACTGGGAGAAACATGAATACGACCTCACAGAATCATAGAAAAGTGAAGCTGGAAGGGGCCTACAAGGCCATCAAGTCCAGCCTCCCTGCTCAATGCAGGAATACAATCAAAGCATTTCTGCCAGGTGATTATCTAAGTTTTTCTTGAATGCCACTCAGATGTGTCTTTAGCTATTCCCCCAAGACTTATGATAGCAGGGCCTTTAACTGCCTTTTACTTCTCTCTCTACCTAGCATTAGGTCACTAAAACCACACATACTTGTAAGATGTTCAGAGATCTGCGCATATCACCATTAGAGAGTGTCACCAGCGCCTTCATGCCATCGTCAGTGACGTCAACTCTAAAAGACAGAAGATCAAGGAGGAGCAACTAGGATAAACGCCCTCTCCCAGAACTTTCCGCAGTCATAGAGCACCCGCTGTACACCCCCATGCTGACAAAACTGATCAGCAAAGCATGCTACCAAATGTTGCCGCTTAAGCCAAATGAACAAAACAAGTAGGAAAGTCTACATTTTACTGGCCTTTAGTAGTTTGCTACCCAATCTACCTGGAGTTTCAACCCCTGGCCCCTCTACTAGGTAAAGGTCAGGGTTCCCCTTGACATTTTGTCCAGGTGTGTCTGACTCTAGGGGGTGGTGCTCATCGCGTGTCCCTCTAGGGGGCGGTGCTCATCTCCATTTCCAACCCACAGAGCTAGCATTTGTCCAAAGACAATCTTTCGTGGTCATGTGGCCAGCACGACTAGACACGGAACACCATTTACCTTCCCACTGTGGTGGTACCTATTTATCTACTCGCATTTTGCATTCGAACTGCTAGGTTGGCGGTAGCTGGGACAAGCAACGGGGGCTCACTCCATCGCATGGATTCAATCTTGTGACTGCAGGTCTTCTGATCTTGCAGCACAGAGGCCCTCTACTAGAGAGCCACTAATAGTCTGTAGAGACAGTTATGGGACAGCTGTACAGATGGGATCAATATACAGTGGTGCCTCGCTTAATGAGCGCACTGTAGAACGACGAATCCGCATAGCGATGGGGTTTCAGCGATCACAAATGCGATCGCATATCGATGGCCCCTATGGGCAAAAATCGCTTTGCGAAGATCAGTAAGCGTTTTGCTTACCAATCTTCGCAAAACGAAGCCCGGCGATCAGCTGTTCAGCGGGTTCAAAATGGCCGCCGGAAGCCCCAAAATGATAGCGTGCAGCGTTTTTGCGCCCTGCCCTCGCTTACTGGCGCGAAAATGGCTGCCGGCTATGGACAGCATCGCTAAACGGTGAGTTTTCAGCCAATTTGGAACGCATTAAATGAGGTTTAATGCACTCCAATGGGCTTCCCCGTCCCGTTCAGTGATGTTTTCACATAGCGAGGGTTAATCCGGAATGGATTAACCCTCGCTATGCGAGGCACCACTGTAAGGCAATTTCCTTTACTTATTTGCTAAATTTGTTTGTGTCGGTGGGTGTTTCTTGGGTGGAGCAAAAATAGCTTGGGCCCACCTCTAAAGCAGATCAAGAAAAATGCCATCCTACACCCTAACCCAGAGCCATCCTGTACCATAACCAACCCAGATCAAACCAAGATAGAAATACAGCCAGCCTGGGCCTCTTTGTTCTCCTCCCCATGATTCCAACAGCTCTCATATGCACCAACACATAAGGAGACAGATGCCAACTTTGGGACTAGGGCTGAAATCGGTGATCTTTTGGTCCCTTCAAACTTCAGGACCCTACAAATTTATTTATTTATTTATTTAT